GCCATGCACTTCAGGTGTCTTTCCGCGCGCAAGGGATTTGCTACCTGTGCGAGTGCGCAGATTGCGACCGGAGGCGTGGTCGGGCATCTTCAGCTTCACGATGAGCGAAGGCTTCTCGACCTCTTCGATAGACGGCTGCGCTCGGCGTCGCGATGCCGGCTTGGGCGAATCGTCTTCGGATGGCGTATCTTCGATCTCGTCCTCGCTCTCCTCGTACTTGATCTGCTTCTTGGTGGCGCGGCGCACGCTTCTGCCTGTCGCAGGGTTGATCTCGGGCTCCTCCGACTCGGAGCGCTCTGAGAAGGAATCTTCGGACTCTATCTCGTCGTCCTCGTCAATGTCCGAGCCGCCGTATGCGCGTCGCTGCCGCTTGGATGACTTCTTCTTAGCTCCAGGCGTGTGTCGGGTGCGGCGCCGTTGGGGCGCGGCGCGTTTTTCCGAGTCGTCGTAGTCGTAGTCGTCCGGGTCGGAGGCGTTGGGGTCGATGTCGAACTTGCGCTTCGCTCGGCTAGACATGGGGACTCGTCGCGGTGAGGCCTAATGCGGTCCTGCGGGATGTTGTGAGTGAGCGGCCCCGGGGATGCGTCGCGGTGAGAGCGCGCTTACACCGCCTATGTAGATTTTCTAGGCTTCAAGATGACATTAGATGCAGGGGAAGTGTCTCCTGCATGTGCGCCGATGATGGCGAAGGTATGCGCGATGCCGCCTGGCGTGTCGCCTGGACGTCGTGTTGTTGTGAATGTGGGAACGATGTGGAGCGCGCGATGCACCGGTCAAGACGACGCAGAACTCAAAGAAAGCGACTTCAAACAGAATTAGTGTCGTGATAAATGCCACGGAGAAGCGAATAGTCGAGATAGACAGACGTGGTCGAGGGGCGTGTGGTGTTGGGGTGCGATCGCGAAGGCCCGTCCAATCCTAAGCGCGCTAAAACCTAACCCGAGTTTAGAGCAAGGAACACTTTTTAGATGCACAACCACAACAATAGCGAACGCCTTTCTTTCTCGACTTTAACAATACAAAATGTGTCAAAATGCACAGCAAAAGTCGAGTTAATGTTCAGTGAGCGAGTTCCGCAGCTTTTCGGGAGTCTTTCGCCACATCCTGGACTACTATTTGAGCTCTTTCTTTTCGACTTGCAGCTCTTGCTGCTGTCGGTTCCTGCATGATCGACATGCGGCTCTAAAAGCTTAACGCGTTTAGAGCTCGCTGCCATGTGTGGGGAAGAGCGAACTATGCACGTGCACCACGTGCTGGAGCGACCCAGTTCAACGCCACCCCTGAGCTGTCAACTCACGACGCTTAAGTCTGGAATTAGTTTACATTTGCAGAGATTGGATATTTGTTTTCGTTGTAGATATGTCTTTCACGACTGTTGCTGTGGTCGTGGGAACACGTCCATACTCCAGCGGTGACCAATAACATTCTCAAACAGTGCGACTTACATGTTGATAATTCTTTGCAGGAGGCAATGGTTTTCATCGAACAATTGTTGTGTTTGTGGGTTCAATGTGCATGTTAGGGTGGGTGCCTTCGTACCCTCCAAGGTTGTCGGGTGATTGCTCCATGTCGCCACGAACATCGACTAGACTTAGGCCGCATTCGCCCTGAGCGCTGTCTGAGTTTTTCGTACATAAATTCCAGGAAAACCATGGTTATATTTACGCTGGTTCATGCGATCTTATGCGCCAACGCCGTCGGGTAGGGTATCGGTGTGGTCTTGGAGCCTCTACACTCGTGCATCGTCAGGGCCCATCTCAACAATCGCTAGAGACCAGCACTGAATGAGCCCCACGATCTTGACGAAGGAACAGTCCAACCACTTTCGATACCAGCTTCTCTTCAACTCAACAAGTAATCTCCCTCATCTAATTCAGCTCCCAAGGTATGGCCGATATGCTTCACTAATGTTGCAATGCTCTATCTCCGAACAAAGTACACGCTCTTGACGCTGTATACGCCATATACGCGAACACTCTGCCTAGCATGTCACCCTTCCTTGAAGTCATAGCAAAAGTTACTCGAATTTCGCATGCAGCTTCTTCAATTGGGATCTCCTTGATACACAGCTCATTATTCTTACGTTGTCATTGAGCACTGCGGAGCTGCCTCCGAGCTGTCCGCATCCATCCCACCAGAAGAAGCCGAACCCCGCAGTTTGGCCATAGCTCTGCCCAACGTCATAGGCTCTCGAAGCTCCGCCAAACCTATCGGGATCCTAGTCTACGAGAGATTGACGTCTTCAGGTGGGCTAAGCTATCTTTATTTCCACGCGTGCCGCCTTTAGAGTGGCCGAGTTCGCGGTAGTTTATAATCGATCTTCACACCCACTTCCAGACGCCATGCGCTCTATTGTGACAGCAACTCGATTTCTCGGACGTCAACAAGCTTACAGAAGTCACTTTCAGAAGAGATCATTACCATCAATTGTCTCGCGAGGATACGCAAACATGGGCCACTCAGTACCACCGGTACGTTCCTACTCCGTTTGCGCGATCATCCGCGACGACCAGCTACTGACCGCATACAGCTCAACGACAAGTCTCTCCTAAGGAACCAGACATATGTCAACGGAGAATGGATAGACGCAAAGTCAGGCAAGACCTTTGAGGTCAATGGTATTCCTACCCCACCGTCCATCCAGAGTCCCTCTAACACGCAGCAGACCCGGCAACAGGCAAGCTCATAGGCACCATGCCTGAGATGGACCGCGCAGACACCGAAGCCGCCATCGCAGCAGCAGCCGCCGCACTCCCTTCCTTCCGCAAACTCACCGGCCGCGAGCGCTCACGGCTCCTACGGAAATGGTACCAATTGATGATGGATAATGCGGATGATCTGGCGAAGCTCATAACCTGGGAGAACGGAAAGCCTATGGCGGATGCTAAGGGAGAGGTCAACTACGCTGCGTCCTTTTACGAGTGGTTCGCAGAAGAGGCACCACGCATGTATGGAGCCACCATTCCGGCAACGGTCGCTGGTAACCGGGTGTTCACAATCAAGGAGCCTGTTGGTGTTGTTGGATTGATCACACCGTATGTATTGCGATTCACTTGAGAGAGAGATATGGCTAACGTTGCCAGATGGAACTTCCCTGCAGCTATGATCACGAGAAAGATTGGACCAGCTCTGGCAGCTGGTTGCACCGTCGTCGCAAAGTCTCCCGGCGAGACACCTTTTACAGCGGCTGCTCTCGCCGAGCTCGCGCACCGAGCTGGAATCCCCAAGGGTGTCGTCAACTTCGTTACAGCGCTCAAGAACACACCTGAAGTCGGCGAGACAATCACATCAAGCAAGACAGTCAAGAAAGTGTCCTTCACAGGATCGACCGGTGTCGGCAAGCTTCTTATGAAGCAGTCTTCGGATACGCTCAAGAAGCTATCATTCGAGCTTGGCGGAAACGCACCCTTCATTGTCTTCGACGATGCCGATCTTGAGACAGCTGTGACCGGAGCTATTACATCCAAGTTCCGTTCTTCAGGCCAAACTTGCGTATGCGCCAACAGGATTTATGTTCAGTCCGGCATTTACGATGAGTTCTGCACAAAGTTCACTGAAAAGGTTAAGAGCTTCAAGGTTGGTGGGGGCTACGAAGAGGGCACTACACATGGACCTCTCATCCATGACCGTGCCGTCGACAAGGTGGATGCCCACGTCCAGGATGCCGTCAAGAACGGCGCCAAGGTCCTGTTCGGTGGACAAAAGCTACCTGATCTTGGTGAGAACTTTTACCAACCCACTGTCCTCCGCGACATGACCAAGGACATGCAACTCGCCAAAGACGAGACTTTCGGCCCTGTCGCCGGACTCTTCCCCTTCGATACCGAAGCCGACGTTGTCAAGCTCGCCAATGCAGCTGACGTAGGACTCGCGGGCTACTTCTTCAGCAAAGACATTCAAAGAGTTTACAGGGTAGCTGAAGCTCTGGAGGTCGGTATGGTCGGTGTTAACACCGGTCTCATCTCCGATGCTGCGGCACCTTTCGGAGGCGTGAAGGAGTCCGGCTTTGGACGAGAGGGAAGCCATCTTGGTATCGAGGAATACACTGTCACAAAGACGATCACAATGGGCGGTAATGGCCAGCCGCTCCAAGGAGAGTAGAGAATCAATACAGACTGATTTGCGCCGAGGGGTCGAGAAGCCCCGCCACACGTTACTTCATTTCCTCCATATGCCTGACAACAAGTACAGATCATGAGGAGATTTGTGCTCAGCCTCGACAGATACCGCAGTGCAGAACCATTCGTCGAATTCATGAGGAAGGAATGTGCCGTGCATGCTGCAAAAAGAACTATCGAAGGGAGCCGCTAGCGTGTCATGTTCGCGACTTTGGAGTTTAGCGTAACGCGTAGCCCAGCGCAACGCGTACCTGTGCCATCCTGTCCTTTCGGCCGTTTAGCACGTAGGTATCGAGTACTTTGTTTGCCTTCCAACTCTCTATCAGATTAATAGCATCGAGCCACCTTGCGAGGACGGCATTTCTTACGACTAATCGCATCGTCGATTTCACATTCCTTCCTTCGACGATCCTTACCTACCGGTGCCATTTCCGACACGCATCCCTGAGAGCATCGCCATCGGCCGTTTTACCCCTCTCCGCCACCGTCACGCCAAAGTTCAGATTTTATCACTTTCTAGCTCATTGACAACTACAATGGCGCACGTTTCGTACGACCAAAGCCATGTCTACATCAAGTCGGAGGCAGGCCTCGACCAAAAACAAACCTTGACCCCCGGACCGAGTCCGACGATCTCAGCTGCACCGTTTCCGCCAGGTCCGAGCAATGTCAAGATGGAGGCGACTCCGAGCAATATGAAGATGGAGCAGGCTCCAAGCAATGTCAAGATGGAGCAGACTCAGGAACCGTATAATATCAAGCAAGAGGAATATCGCCAGCAGGAGCGGGAGAGCACCGTAGGTACTATGGATGCAACTACACGCACGACGAACTCGGTGCTACAAGGGAACAACGTGACTGTCGGTCAGGCCGTACCAGCCCATGGGTCAGCTTTTTCGACGCCTGTTCCAGATACTAAGCCTGCGATTGCCCCAGCTGCTTAGACGACTGCCGCTCGGACCACTCAGAACTCCTTGGCGTCTAGCAGATACGCCCGACCAGAAATCAAGGCCAACCCATCTCAAGCGTCATTGAACCGCCTAGCATCCAAGAGACTCCTCGAAGACGATTCTTTCTGTACAGGATCACCAACTTCCAAGCGCATAAGAGCCGAGCCAACCCCCTCCGTCTCCGGCACCGGTATCCCTCGCATCAGGTTGGAGCCCTCCAGCTCTAACCTAGAGCCTTCCAGCTCCAACCCAGAGCCAAACGCCCCTCCTATGCGCCGCACACCGGAGAACGATATTATCGCAATCTGCAAAATCGGCTCATCCCGCAACTTCACCGCCTTCGAACTCGAGCAACTTAACATCATCCAAACGAAAATCGACTGGGTCTTCAACCACGGCGCACTATCTTTTGATGTCCACTCCGCGATTAAGAAGATCCCGCATCAACCATTTGAATCTGATGGCATTAGTCTCAAGCGAGAACAGAATCGCCTCATCACCGAGTTGATGAAGAGGATGAAAGATGCTAATCCGATGGCGACTCCTAGTAGGAGGAAGACTAAGAATTGTCGGGCAAGGACTGTCAAGAGTCCGTCGGTGCCTGCACAACAGGCGGCGGCGCCGGTTGAGAAGGTTGAGAAGGTTGAGGAGGCTAAGAAGGTTGAGAAGATTGAGGAGGTTAAGAAGGTTGAGAAGGTTGTGGGCATGTTGGTGTTGAATGATGAGTCTGGAAATACTGTCGCTCAAGCGGCTTCTAATTTGCTTGCGAGTAGGGGGCTGAAGTTTACGTTGTGTGAGGGGGAATTGCGGTTATTAGAGTTATAGATGTGGTATGTTTGGTACCTTCTTGTAGAAAATTTGTAGCCGGGATGGCTTTCTTGTATTACTAGTAGTAGGAGCGGGCTCTCTGGGTTGTGTGCGGGTAGACTTCTGGTCTCCGCCAAGCACTCTTTGTAATTTCATTTGTTGTACCGAGGTAATTTCCGTCCAGTGTAATATTGGTTCTATTGGAACAATTGAACTGCTTTTTTTGGTACACCTTTCCTCTGATGAGTGACTCAGACAGTCTGGGTGCGATAACCTCGAAATCTGGTTCCATCCCATCCCATTCCATGGTACTGCGATGACCCATAACGATGAGTGACTCACAACTCCCGTAACACAAACGACATACACACTGCATTCATCTTCCTATTAAATAGCAACAGCCCCTCTGATGAGTGCAACTTCGTCTCTCACATATCAAAACTTCGCACATCCAGAACACGCGCACGACACTATGAGCCCAATGTCAATAAGCAGGAAGCGTAAAACCCACCCAAGAGTGGGCGACGTTCGCAACTATATAGCCGCAGTCAACGACGAGCACACAAGGAAGAGGGTCAAGAGGGAGGACGACGGAGGCTCACGGCCCATAGCCACCATCCCATCAGGCACGAGACGTGCCCGCGAATTACCCCTGACCTCTATCCGAGCATTCTGCGAGCCTCACAACCGTCATTTGGAACCCCGGGAGATCGCTATCCTTCAAGGCCTACAAACCGCAATAGACAGAGCTATGGCCGGCGCCGGCGAATCGTTGAATATCACGACCAACATACCCAAATCCATCTATCTCAGCGCGCAACAAAGGAGAACACTCAGGATAGCACAAGAAGTGATGGAAAGGGCGAATTTCAAGAAGAGAAAGGAGAGACATGAAGTCAGGGCAATTGCTATCAAAAATCCTGGTTCATCTCCTCAGCAGATCGACGCTCGTTCTTCACAGAATGATGCTGGCTGGAGTGTTCTCACATTGCCGGTCTTGCACGCTGCTGAGACGCTGGAGACAGCGCTTTTCGCAAAAGCTATGCTGAGGGAGGTTAACAGGCTACTGGCAGAGAAAGAGGGGTTGAAAGTGAGGGTCTCGCTTGCGTGGAGTGATCGTGAGACGTCGGGTTGGAAGTTGAGGGATGAGGGAGATGAGAAATGATGGCACCTGGTACGGATGGGTTGCAAGTCTATGGTGGGAGGTCTTTTCTTGCTGTAAGCACGGGATGGAGACAGGACGGAATCACCTGGGCAGTGCTGCCATGGGCAGTCCACTATTGACTTGCAGCATGCGTTGCACCAGTGGGGGTTTGATGCAGTAAGGGGTGGGACCGAACATGCCGTAACTGAAATGGGCATCGCGCATCTCCTCGCCAGCACCCACGGCACCTGGGCAAGGTTGCAACAAGTTCGAACGAACGACCAACAAACGACTAATGCCATCAATGTCAATCGCAATCGAAGCTGAACCCGACGATCGAGCAGTGTGAAGATGACCTTGGGCTCAGCTGAGAAGAAGAAACGACGAGGAGACGCCTGTAGTTTCCAGGGTTGCTCACAGCGATATCTCGCGATGAGCAGCGCGGGGTTTCAATGCGCCAACGCGGCTCAGCGTATGTAGGAGTATTGATAACCATGCATCCGCAGGATCCGAGAGGAGACTCCGTTCATACATTCATAAAGAAGAATTCTCGCTTTTAGATTCCATATCGAACATCTGTTCAATTGCTCATTTCCCAGCCATCTCGTGCCCCTCGTTCCTTCCCGTTCTGACTCGCTAGCGTGTCTTGCACGTGAACCTCTCTACGCGTATCCCCAGGGTCAGCGCGTCACTTTCAAGTACTGGATGAAATAGGAGGATCTTAGTTAACGAGAACTTATTGTCGATAAGAAACTTTGGGTCGCTTACGGCAATCTTTCAAACGTCCCACTTCAACAATCTACTCTACCAAAACGATATGAAGGACGGCAAGATTACAAGCTGGCTGCGGCGAGAGCAACCTACGCGAAGTCAAACGAAGGCAATGCCTACTTCCTCACAGACAGCTCCGAATGGCCACGTTTCGAAGCCCAAGGCGGGAAAGATACCACTCGCTGCAAGGATCACTCGAAGTGCAACTGCCGCACAGAAAGTACCAATTGCTGCAAGAGTCACTCGAGATGCAACTGCCGCACAAAAAGTACCCATCGCTGCAAGAGTCACCCGAAGTGCAACTACCGCGCAGAAGAAGGCAGGCGGCAATGCGGCGCCATGTGGTCGAGGAAAGGACAAGACACCAAGTAGGAGGCGGACGAAAGCGCAACTAGATCAGGAAAGACTTCAACGCGCGAGGAACGATGCTGGTGCCGCTGCTAAAGCAGTCGAACGCACCTGCCTAGAAGAGAACGTCATTACACTGCCATTATCAGTTGTGATGAATGCCCCAGGGGCGCGCCTTCCTGCCGAAGTAACATCGGCAAGCAGCAACAACAACTCACCACCTGCTCTCATCACCGCATCACCGCTCACCTCAGCGTCTCACCCACATCTACTCGAAACCACACTTCAAGAACAGCTCTTAGAGGAAGACAAGCAGCAGCAGACCAGAGAAGTAAGACTACCCAAGCAACGGACTACGATGACAAGCAAGAGAGCAGCCAGGAGGCAGCGCAAAGCCCGGAAAGCCCGCGAAGAAGCTCATGAAGAAGCCCTCGTCTTCATCAAAAGCGAGTCCGTCGACGGTTCCCAAGACGCGCCGCGCAACTTCGCCTACGGTGCTTCAACCAGATCGTCGTCATATCAGCACTCAAGCTCTCCCGCGCGTCAGCCATGGGCTGCACCAAAGCGAAACAGCATCATCGACCTAGTCAGACTATGCACCTACCCCGGCCAGACAATCAATCCAAACTCAGTCAACCGACTCTTCATCCTCCAGCGGGACATCGACGCCGCTATGGACGGCCAGGGTCGTCACGTCTGGATTCTGCGAAGACTCCCACGCGACATCACCTTGACGGTAGAACGAAAGGAAGCTATCTGGCTGGCACAAGGGAAGATCAACCGGGTCGTGGATGAACGGGGACGCTCACGTAGACGGCTTAAGCTCGATCGATACGTGCCAGTCAACCGCTGGGTCACGATCGATCGCTACATTCCTGGCATGCCGTACCCTCTCCCTCTGCGCCGCAACGCCATGCCGCGCATGAGGGTATATTCGAGGTCATATGCGTAGCGGTACGGACGTCGTTTTGTTGCTTTCTCTCTGGAGAGGGACCGCGAGGTTTTGCGATACGGTAGACACGCACAGGATACTACAGGGCGTGTCTGTGTTCGCTTTCAGAGTGGCACGTGAGAGTCGGGCGGGCTTCACGTCTCTTCAGCTCTTCTTTGTCATCATTGCAGGAGGTTCATTAATTGGCTTGCCATCTCGAGGAGGCCAGGTCTTCTTCTTTCGTTCTACTTCGATACCGCTACATGGACATCTACCCCTAGCTTCACAGGTCCGCACTTTTCCCAATCTCAGCAAAGCAAAGAATTTAATCAATCTTTCAAACTTCTTGATTTCCGTACAAATTGTAAACCATGATCACCCAGCTTAATGATTCGGCTTTACGGTTTCTTTTATTCGGCGAAATACTCTTAACTGGTAATCATTCGATATGAAATGGCTGTGAGTGGCTCAACGGTACAAGTCATCACAAACCATGGTAGAATGAGGTCCTGCACATGGATAGATTATGAAAACTCTACATATCTTCATACAAAATGTAGTGCCCAAAGAGCAACGTTGATTGCACTCATCCGCCAGGTGAGAGTACACAGGTACATTCTGCACGTACCTTCAGAACGACTCAGTGAAAGAACCACCGACTGCCCTATTACCTGACTCATATCGATCGCGCCTAACTAAACAACTTTACTGACACGGCTGCTTCCCCACTTCACACGTCGTACATCCGAAACAAACATATCATATTATCATGGCGCCGATCCCGTTCGTTACCGCCACCGACGCCCTTCACTCCGCCAATGCGATAACCCGCCCGCTCACCGAAACCAGAGCCAGCGCTCTAATCTTCGGCCCGGGACTCTACCCTCACTTTGTCAACTGGCAAACCAACATCGACGACCCTGAGCAACGGGCGCTTTACCCGACGTGTCAAGCATGGAAAAACACCGTAAAGGCAGTTCAGCAGGAAGACATCGGCGGTATACCCAGTCCGCCAATCTTCAAAGCGTTCATGAACACACCGCGCGTCAAAGAGCATTTCCACGGTCGCGACGAAGATCTCGCCCACATCTTCACAGACGTCGACGACGAAGAGGCAGAGAGAGGACCAGAGGACCTCCTCATCGCGCGCGTCTGCAAACACACTATCCACCCCGGTAACCCATGCCTAAAAACCGAGATTTGTCCCGTCTGCATCATGAAACAATGTCTCGCGTCTCTCGAACGCATCGCCTTTGTGTGGCGCATCGTCGGTGGACCGTATAGGCCCGGTCGAAACGAAACGGGGGTGTACATGGTTGACCCTGGAGAGCTTGCGATATATCTTGCGGTCAAGAGCTTGTGGATCGTGGAGAAAAAGAGATGGGCGAATCTGGTGGGGGTTTATGAGGATTATGCGGCGAGGGAGCGAGCGTGGGAAGAGGATTCTAGACGGGGTGGCTTTGAGATTCCGGGGGCGGTGAGGGAGGCGAGTACCTGTGTTGAAGCGTTGGAGCTGGCGGGCCAGAGTCCGTTCCTTGTGGAGGGGTGGAGTGATGTCTTCGTCCCGACGAAGCGTTCGAGAAAGTGCGGCGCAGGGGATGAACTGCAAGGCAGTTCTGTTAGCAGCGGTGAGCAGCCATGTTCTCCACCCGAGACGCCTAAGATGGATTCAGAAACGTTACCGTACTCCACCAGGACTTCCGATGGGACAGAGGAGGCAGACGACAACACCGCAGACTACTACCTCAGAGACCATTCAGACTCGCCGCCTGCTGACCGCACAGCCGCCCGAGCGGACTCTCCAACTGCCTCTCCCCGAACTAAGACCTCCGCCAATCCGACCGTCTACACGTCCTCTCCCCCACCGCCATCCTCTCCACCCCAAAGTCGGTCCTCTTCCTTTGTACCATCCACCCCCATGTTCGGTGTATACTTCCCGGACGATCTCCCTTCTCCCTCCACCCGACGATCGTTGTGCTATCTTCGCACCTCTAAGTCCTATAAACAAGGCAAACACGCAAGTCCATACGGTAGTATTAAGGTCGATACGAGTTTCGCGAACAACTCCGCATATGACGAGTTTGGAGTCGCCGAAGAAGAGGAGCTGGAAATCTCGACAGAGGCTCTGGACAAACCTGTTCAAGAAGCTGGTGAGCGTTTTGCGGGTTTCACAGACGTTGACCTAGACTCGGAAGACGAGGGGAAGGACAGTGATTGGAGTGACACTACTGATGAAGGAGATGGAGAAGACGATCTCATGACGGTTGTGGGTAGAAGCACCGTGGGTGGAAAGAGGCTGCCGGGTCAGACCGGGGATGTGAACTTCCGACGACCGGTGTTTACGTTTAGTTGGCCACACCGAAGAGAAGAGGATGAAGAGGGCGATACAGTCTCCGACACAATCTCTGACACTAGTTCGGATGAGTTCGATGACGACGAGGTAGAAGAGGCGATGAGAGATATGGATAATGTGGGTGCGGTATCGCTGGCCGAGCCGGATCTCCTGATAACTCCCCGTCGCCGAAGTCATGACGAGTTTGTTGAATGCGAGGAGGTGGATGAAGAGAGCCACGTCAAGAGATCGCGCCTTTAGGAAAGGCTTCTTTGAATTTCGTAAGCGTTGGATATTGGGTACTTCGCTAGAAAGCTATATATAAGTACTCGTCTGGAGGAGCAACGTTAGAGGTATCATTCACGGTGGAAACTCGAAGTTTGATGGAGTCTGGTAGCCCTTCGGCATTGGGCAATGGCTGTACGTGACCCTACTGTGGAACACGACATCATGCACTGGGTAGAAACGCCTTTTGGTCTCTGGAAAGAGATTATAGAGGGCCAATTCCGCAGAATTAGAGATAGAATGTCGAAGACGGCCGAGATATAGGCCAGAGAAAGTCATCAACAGGGCACAAGGCCGCAGGATGTTGAGTAAATACGGTGCCACTCATTGTATCCGAAATAAGGAAGACATAAATCGTGGATACCAGGCCAGAGGCGCAGGAGACAGACATAGATCCCAGATGCCGCCATATGATCGAAGCAGCGGTTTCGACGGTGCTCGCGGTTGGGGGAGATATGGAGGTCTCGGGTATCAATTTGGACGTGATCTTTGATGCACAAGCATATAAATCAGAGGAACGACGTATGCAAACTAAAGAGGGCGAAAAGCGATGTCTGCATGCGCGATGGAAGAGACGCGCCTGCTGCACGATGAGGCTCATCGGCGGATGTTTGGACCTAGCGCAAGGCGGTGGCCAAAGCGCCCCAGCTCGGAGCGTGGGTCTCTACATCACTGACGAGCCGCAACACGACCAAACAACGTCGCCGCCCCATCCCACACCTTCCCCTCTCGCATTCGATACTTGCATCCGCTGTCTCTACTTCACCTTGGAGATAGCCAATACCCCGACACCCGACAGATAAACCCCACGACCCCGCCACCATGTCTAGCGGAGAAGTGCTCAAGGCCGACAAGGACTTTACCAAGGAGGTCGATGCGGCTATTCCAGAGGCGGAGAAGCTAGCTTCTGTACGTATGACGGCTTTCAAAGTTGACGCGAAGCTAACACAGTTGATCAGAGCAACCCGCAAGCTGGAATCGACAAGCTGCTCACGCTTGAGAAGCAGACCCGCCAGGTACGCATCCACGTATCCCATGCGCATAAGCGTGTGCTGACTCCTTCTAGGCCTCAGATCTCGCCTCGACTTCCCGCATCATAATCGCCATCGTCACAATAGCAAAGAATGCGAAGGACTGGAACTTGATGAACGAGCAGGTCCTGCTCCTCTCCAAGAAGCATGGACAGCTAAAGCAGGCCACCACCAAGATGGTGCAGACAGTCATGGGATTCTTGGATGAGACTCCGAATCTAGAGACAAAGTTGTCCGTCATCGAGACGCTACGGACAGTCACAGAGGGCAAGGTAGGCGACCCCAACGGACAGCGTGCGTACCGGTGCTGACATGGTGGTAGATCTTCGTCGAAGTCGAGCGTGCGCGAGTAACCCGCATCTTGTCCAACATCAAGCTGGAGCAAGGCGACATCGATTCAGCGACGGACATTCTTTGCGAACTGCAAGTCGAGACCTTTGGCTCCATGACCCGTCGCGAAAAGACCGAGTTCATCCTACAACAAGTGGCGCTATGTATAAAGAAGGGCGACTGGACACAGGCCGGAATTTTGAGCAGGAAGATCAGCACACGGTACTTTGCGCGGAGACCGAAGAAGACTCCCGAGCAGCTGGAGAAGGACCAGAAGGAGCGGGAAGAGAAGGAAAAGAACCGAAGCGCCGACGATCCACCCATCGAGCCAGAAGACGATGTAACGGATCTGAAGCTCAAGTACTACGAGCAGCAGATTACCCTGGCCAAGCACGACAACAAGTACCTGGACGTCTGCAAGCACTACCGTCAAGTACTGGATACCGAGGCTGTAGAGGAGGACCCCAACAAGCTCCGAGCGGTATGTTCAGAAGCCTAATCGAGTTTTCAAGCTTTTACTAACATACTTGCAGATCCTCCAGCGCGTCATCTACTTCATCATCCTCGCACCGTACGACAACGAACAGTCCGACCTGATTCACCGCATCCAACGCGACTCTCGCAACTCCCAGATCCCACAAGACGCACAATTAGTTAAGCTCTTCACTGTGCCAGAGTTGATGAGGTGGCCGATGGTTGCGAAGCAGTTCGGGCCCCACCTCACGGAGACAGATGTCTTTGATGCAGAGAAGGACGACTCAGATGACCCCAAGGCATTCCAGAGGTGGCAGGATCTCCGCAAGCGTGTCATTGAGCACAACGTTCGCGTCGTCGCCAAGTACTACACACGTATCCAAATCCCACGCTTGACAGAGCTGCTAGATCTTACCGAGGATGAGACGGAGAAGAACATCAGCGAGCTTGTGTCTGCAAAGACCATCTATGCCAAGATCGACCGACCCGCCCGTATCGTTACCTTCTCGAAGCCCAGGGACGCAGACGATGTGCTGAACGAGTGGAGCGGAAACATGAAGAGCTTGTTGGGTCTGCTCGAGCGCGTTGATCATCTCATCACCAAGGAGGAGATGATGGCGCGTATCCAGCCCACAAAGGTGGACAAGAGCAAGGCTGCCAAGGGCAAGGCGAAATAGGATTCGCGAAGACCCTCAGGTATCGGCAATCGATGCACGAAGTTTGGGCAGCAATTGGTTGTCTAATGGTCTTGCAAGATGCAGCATATACGATGATGATGGACGAGAAATGGCTACATTAGTCTACGATTGAGTGCGTATGCAAGATGAGAACGAAGCCTAAGTGTTTACCCATGCGCTGCATAGGTTTACGCTTGACAGGTCGGACTGTTGGTCTAAGCGCATGAAGGAAGAACCAGACAACTTAGGCATCTGCTATAGGATAGTAAAACAAATGAAAGCAAACACTGAAACAAGAACTTGGTACGGGTAATGTGCTGCGTATACGACACTTTCGTCCGAGAGCATTGGTTGTAACTGATGGACAGCAACTGGGCGTTGCATCATGTGCCAAGCCTCTTAAGTGCCGACGCGGACTAGCGCAACGCGTCCGACGCGTCCCTTCCTTCCCCAGGATTTGGCAGCGACAGCCGTTGAAAGTACTGGACTCTCAATACCTCACTTTTTGCATCCCCATACCACCGCAACCATGGTCCGTGGCGTCGAAGGTAACGAGATGTCGACACCTCGCGCTTCACAGAAGAAGCAACCCGCCTCCGCGTCGCAATCGGCCAAGGGACAAAAGTCCATCCTAGGGTTCTTCCAGAAGAAGTCTACCAACTCACCAAGCCCCGCGCCGTCCGATGCCACACCAGTCAACAAGACGCCCACATCGCAATTGGCGAAGAAGGCGTTCGACAAGCCGCCTGCCGCAATCACTCCCGTACCGAGTAGCGACGCTCCCGATTACTCGAGTCCTATCAAACAGGAACATGAATTGACAGTAGGGAGAAACAAGGAGAACATACTGGCCAAGCATACAGATGCCGTTCCCAGTAGCCCAACACGCAAGGTACGCGAGACATGCCATTGCGTATTCGACTGCACTTACTGACACTCTAATTCAGGCACGAAAGCCCGTCAACTACGCCGAGTCAGATGACGACGACGAAGATGTGCTGGGTCCAATTGCAAACAATGCAAGAGGCAGAGCTACGAAACGCCAGCGGGTCACCGTCGAAGACGATTCAGACGACGAGTTCGGATTAGACGCGGCCACACAGAAGGCAATGCTAGAGGAAGACGACGACGATGTTGATGACTTCGTTGTCCCAGACGATTCCGATGAGGAAGTCGTCTCGAAGAAGCGCAAACGTTCAGCAGCACCCAAGGCTCGTACTAAAACATCCCCAGCATCGTCACCACCTATCATCGAGACAAAGGATGAAGAGGATGATGGCGACGTTGTCATGAATAGCACGTCTACCGCACAACAATGGATCTACGATCCAGACAACCCAATGGTATTCAAACCTCGCACAGCAGTACAAGCCACGAAGAAGGACCCCAGCAAGAAGATCAAAGAACGACCGAGCGCTTCTGAACCCGAGACGAGATACCCATGGCTCGCGCATCAGATGGACGCTGACCGGCATCCCGTTGATCATCCCGACTACGATCCTCGCACACTATACATTCCCCCAGGTGCTTGGGAGAAGTTTTCTGCTTTTGAAAAGCAGTACTGGGAGATCAAGAGCAAGTGGTGGGACACTGTCGTCTTCTTCAAGAAGGGCAAGTTCTACGAGCTCTATGAGAAGGATGCTTCTATAGGCCATCAGCTCTTCGATCTCAAATTGACTGATCGTGTCAACATGAGGATGGTCGGTGTACCAGAGGCTTCCTTGGACATGTGGGCTACCCAGTTTGTAGCAGCAGGCCACAAGGTTGCTAGGGTTGACCAAATGGAGTCGGCTCTAGGCAAAGAGATGCGTGAACGCGACGACAAAGGCAAGACTCCAAAGAAGGCTGGCAAGGAGAACAAGGTGATCCGAAGAGAGCTAGCTACGGTACTCACTTCGGGTACGCTTGTAGATACCGGCATGCTTCAGAGTGAGATGTCGACATACTGCATGGCCATCAAGGAGATCGATCGCGACAACCTGCCAGCCTTTGGAATTGCCTTTGTGGATACTGCTACTGCACAGTTCCAGCTTTGCGAGTTCACAGACGATGTCGACATGACCAAGTTTGAAACCCTGATCGCCCAGATGAGGCCAGGTGAACTACTCTTGGAGAAGTCATGCGTTTCTGCGAAAGCTCTGCGGATACTCAAGAACAACACGCCTCCCACAACGATTTGGAACTACCTTAAGCCCAACAAGGAGTTCTGGCCAGCGGATATCACCATCCGAGAAATTGAAGCGAACCACTACTTTGAGTCACCTACAGAGGATAACATTGAAGCATGGCCACCGGTCCTCCGTGAAGCCCGAGAGCAGGAGCTGATCATGTCGTCATTTGGTGCTCTTCTTCAATACCTGCGGACGCTGATGATTGAGCGCGATCTGGTCACACTTGGAAACTTCCAGTGGTACGACCCCATCCGGAAAGCCACAAGTCTGGTTCTCGACGGCCAAAGCCTGATCAACCTGGAGATTTTCGCCAACACGTTCGATGGATCGACCGAGGGTACTCTGTTCGCTATGCTGAACCGCTGCATCACCCCATTCGGCAAGCGATTACTGCGACAATGGGTGTGTCATCCCCTCGCAGATGCAGCCAAGATCAACGCTCGTCTAGATGCCGTTGATGCGCTGAATGCCGACTCTACCATCATGGACAATTTCAGTGCGTCCCTTAGCAAGTTGCCAGATCTCGAGCGTCTCATTTCTCGTGTGCACGCGGGCCGATGCAGAGCGCAAGACTTCCTCAAGGTGCTGGAGGGCTTCGAGCAGATTGAGTATACCATTAGCCTGTTGAAGCAGTTCAGCGAGGGTGAAGGTATCATTGGTCAACTCATCTCTTCTATGCCTGACCTTGCTGCGTCTCTATCTAAATGGAGTTCAGCTTTCGATCGAGACATCGCACGGAAAGAAGGACTGCTCATTCCTGAGCCTGGCATCGAAGAAGACTTTGACAACAGCCAGGAGGAGATCGACACCTGCAAAGCAAACCTTGATGTACTGTTGAAGAAGGCCCGGAAAGAGCTCGGCTCTAATGCTGTTCAATACAACGACATCGGCAAGGAAATCTACCAACTAGAGGTACCCAAGAAGGTCAAAGTTCCCAATAACTGGGATCAAATGTCTGCTACAGCTAAGGTCACTCGCTACTACACTCCCGAACTGAGGAAGCTGGTGCGAGCACTACAAGAAGCGCAAGAGACGCATGGTCAGATTACACGTGAGGTTGCCACTCGCTTCTGTCAACGCTTTGATGAGGATTACAAGGTCTGGCTCGCGGCAGTCAAGATCATCGCTCAACTAGATTGCCTGATCAGTCTCGCAAAGGCGTCTGCTTCACTGGGAGAGCCCAGCTGTCGTCCAGTTTTCGAGGAGGGCAATCGAACTGTCGTTGAGCTAGAAGAGCTTCGTCACCCATGCATGCTCAACACAGTCGACGACTTCATTCCCAACGACATTAGACTAGGCGGCGACTCTGCCAACATCAGCCTACTGACTGGTGCCAACGCAGCCGGTAAATCGACTATCCTTCGTATGACTTGCATAGCGGTCATCCTCGCACAAGTCGGTTGTTATCTACCTTGCACATCGGCCAGACTCACACCTGTTGACCGTATCATGTCCCGCCTTGGAGCCAACGACAACATCTTCGCAGCTCAATCCACCTTCTTTGTCGAGCTGTCCGAAACACAGAAGATCCTCTCGGAAGCCACGCCCCGTTCACTTGTCATTCTCGACGAGCTCGGTCGCGGTACATCTTCCTATGACGGTGTGGCCGTTGCGCAAGCCGTTCTGCACGACATTAGCACACGCGTGGGCTGCGTGGGCTTCTTCGCCACCCACTACCGTTCTCTGGCTAAGGAGTTCGAGTTTCACCCTGAAGTGGTGAACAAGCGTATGCGTATCCATGTGGACGACGCCTCCAAGTCCATCACCTTCCTCTACAAACTCGAAGAGGGTGTCGCAGAGGGCAGTTTCGGTATGCACTGCGCGGCCATGTGCGGTATCCCGAGCAAAGTTATCGAGAACGCGGAGAAGGCGGCTCGAGAGTGGGAGCACACGAGTAGGCTGGGAGAGAGGATGGAAGTCAATAAGGACGAGGGTGGTGTCTATGTGCCGCTGGGTCTACAGAGTGACGTTGCTTGGACTCTCAGGGAGGGCTTGGAGGGAGTCGGTGATCGGGCGCTGGATGTGCTGCTCGAAGCTATCTCCGCGCTCTGAGTGTCTGATATGTGAGAGAAGCATGTAAGATAGATGTATTGAAGGCGCAACATGGGCGATCGGGAACGGAATGTATTCATATGGGAAGGGGGATCGGATCTAGGTCAGGCTAGTATTCTGCTGTAATCATGTTCCGTCAGTTAGCGTATCGCAAGCCAGTTCACATGTTCAGAACATTCCCTTTCCTGGAGGTGATGACTACATTGTGCTTGATGCTTAGTAGATGAAGAACACATCGAATACATCCAGCCAGGCTACGGCATCATTGTAAAACTGGATGGATACTTAAGGCTCATGAGAGCCGGGAGGTAGTCAGTACATGCCGCGATGTCACATTCCCCCAGTAAACTAAGTGAAGTACACCAGGCATGTATGAGATTTTCTGAAATGACGGCAGTTACTACGATGTAGTCCTCCGACCCTACGTTGAACTCGCCATACAAGCCCAAACTTTTCCGTCATCCCAGCCGAATGAGCACGCGAACGCCATCCTAAACCACGCCCAAAGACCCTCCCATCCCCACCCCCACATACCCCCCAACCGTCCTACTCACCCTCCTCCTCCAACTGCACAGCACGGTACCCGTTCGACGCATTCCTTCCCGATCCCTTAGCAGCACCACTAAAAGTCTCCATGCCATCCAGGAAACCGTAGCTCACGCCCCTGGCATCACGAGCGGAGACATCTTCCTCCACGAGATCGAAGCCGTCGTCAAAGGCAGGCTCTTCCTTCTTGACTTTGGGTCCACCGAGGCCGAAGTCATCGTCATCGTCGTCGTTGGCATCGGAGTGAGAGGGGGAGGAAGTAGGTTGGCGGGCACGGCGCTTGGAGGCGGAGGTTGGAGCGGCAGTCGCACCCCTCTTCTTGGGTGTGGACGTGGTAGCGGTTCTGGGACGTCCACGAGCTGACTTTGCAGCAGGACTGTCCTCGGAGATGCCGGCGGTCTTGTTCTTGAGCTTGCGCTTGATCTTGCCCATGGTGAAGCCCGCGCTGCCGGGGGTGTAGCCTGTTAGGGCGGCGAGCTTGTTCATGTCGACCTGAAGTGAAGTGTCAGTTGAGTGTGCTGAGTGGGAGGGTGGGAAGGTGGGAAGGTATACTTTGGGCTCTTGCTCGAAGCACTGCCATGCTAGGGCGAGGACCTCGTTCTCACGGGGGGTCAGGTCGTCTTTGGCCATGGTGGAGGGTGCTGGTGCTGGTGCTGGTGTTGGTGGTGGTTGTCTTGATGTGTTTGTAGTTGTTGGAGTCCGAGTTGGAGTACCGATGAGAGAGTGGTGGAGGAGTGAAGAGGGATGAAGGATGAAGACGGGGAGATACGAGCCTTATGTGCTGGGCCAGAGCAGCGAGATAGCGGCTCTTAACAGCAAGGAAATTACTTTTCTGTAGCTACTAGTAGTTGTGGTGAGAGTGATAAGCAAAGGTGAAGGAGAGCTAGAAGACCAGCTTCACCTCGCTTTTAGTGACCTAGTAGATTACTGTGTGGCAGCATATGGTGCAAGTGAGTTTAGCTTGACAAGGATACCACGTGTCTAGGCAGCCATTTCCATAGGTGCGAGGCATCTTGCCTGCGCTGGACGTTGAGTGGTATCTTCAAGTTCGGAGAAGCTTGGCGTGGTTCACGATGAGACCTCCCTGGTTATGCTATCGAAAGTCACGCTCGATTACCACAGGACATTGCAGATATTTTCCGGTCTATTCTCGAGTCCATTAAAGATGACAAGACATAGGCCAACGTACGAAGAAGTTATATCCTACGTACTTCTTTACCCAGCAATTCGGGTCTCTCCACGTCCAGCTCATCCCTCAACGCTGCGTATAGCGAATCTCCTAGAATAATGGACAATCCCAAGCTCCAGACCAGCGTAATGGCATAGAAGAAGTTGGCGTTTCCCGATCCTGCGTAAATCCAAAGGTGGTAGAAGGCAGGGCCCAAGAACGATGTATATAAGATAGCGGATGAAGCCAAGAACGTGTAGCGCATGACTGGGATACGGTTAGTATTGCTACAAGAGATTGAAATAGGGGAAACTCACGAGGGAACAGATGGCGAAACATGGGTACCAAAGAAAGGTAGAGCGCAGCGTCCGCTATGCTTGGGTATGGTGTGAAGATGGCGAACACGCCGGTCAAGCTGCAAGCAACGAATAAAGGCTGCTTGTGGAGGCGAATGGTAAGACCTGGCATATACGACGCCGCGTGTAGCCAGAATACGCCGAGGAAGAACTCGCGGAACGAGTCGAACATCTCGATGAAGAAGTACCACCAAAGTCCAACATTCGGCGTGAGGTCAGGTAATAGAAGACGCACGCCGTACGTCGCCGAGAGAAAGTCCCACGAGCCCATCAAGAACGCAGAGCCACCGAGCAAGACGCCTATTGCGACCGTGACACCAACAGTATGGGCTATGATGAAGGACGCGACGTCTGGCGCGGTGCTCTTCTTCAGGGTCTTCGCATCGTATAGCAGAACCATAAGCGGAGGGAATAGAAGGATCGGGTGCATAGCAAAGTACGATGCGAAAGCCGTGGCTAGTATAAAGGTGAAGCTGGCTCCTTGGGACGCCTTGGCCATGGCCGTGAGGATGAAGAGGTTGGTGAGGGCCGAGGTGGAGCGCGCGACGCAGGTTAGAACTGTGAAGGGATTGAACAGGAAGCTGGATGATGTCAGTACATATCCTACATAGAGGTGTAGTAGGCTTACCCTGCTGCAATAGCCACACTACTCCATCTCAAGTCCTTCCGCGGGGAAGCGAACAATCGCGTGACTGACGCGAAGCCGCTCTCTGCCACCTGATATAAGGCATTCGCGCTTAATAAATCTACGATGGTAAAGAAGATGTTGGTGGCCAGCGGGGCATGGGCCGGGTTGGGGAAGAGGGAGAAGAGCGGCAGCAAGAGGGGCGCCTGGTGGTATACGCCGCCGTCGTAGGGAGAGACATTGTGAGTGTAGAGAAAGACGCCCTCTTGCACTTGTAGGCGTCAGTAATGTTATGTATACGTAATTGCAGGTACATACATCTCTTGAAGCCATTCACTGGTGTTGACACCTCGACACGTCCGGCGAGGAGGTCTGGCAGGGCGGGAAAGACAGTGAAGAGGAGCAGGCGCACGGCGGCGGCGGCTGCAAAGAGCAGCATCTTGTGCTGCTTGTCAATGGCCATGGTCACGGGCAGCTATGCATTCATTGGCTCCATGGCGGTTCTCGACACCTCGGCGCTGGAGTTCTGGCAAGATGCATGTCGGTGGACCCTGGTCGCGCTAACGCCGGATCCATGTCCGCTAGTTGGCCGCATCTCTAACTTTTTTGCGCCCGCCAAAAGTTCGCCCGTCTGCACCGACAGAATCGCGATTCCATACTTTCTCTACAATGGCTGGTCGCTCAAAAAAGAAGGGTATGCATCGCCGTCAATCATCGAGAGGAATATCTTACTAATCCATTCACAGGCACCTCCGGTGCGGCCAAGAACTACATCACCCGCACGCGCGCCGTGAAGAAGCTTCAGATCTCGCTCCCCGACTTCAGACGACTATGTATCTTCAAGGGAATCTACCCCCGTGAGCCGCGCAACAAGAAGAAGGTCTCGAGGGGCTCTACCGCCGCCACCACCTTCTACTACACCAAGGATATCCAGTACCTGCTCCACGAGCCGCTGCTGGCCAAGTTCCGCGAGCACAAGGCTGTCGCAAAGAAGATTGGTCGCGCCCTCGGTCGCGGCGAGTCTGGCGATGCATCGCGCCTCGAGAAGAACCTCATGCCCAAGGTCAAGCTCGACCACATCATCAAGGAGCGCTACCCTACCTTTGTCGACGCCCTGCGCGACCTCGACGATGCCCTCTCCATGCTGTTCCTCTTCGCCAACCTGCCCTCCAGCGACCACGTCCCCGCCAAGACCATCGCCCTGTGCCAGCGACTGACCCGCGAGTTCGAGCACTACGTAATCACCTCCCACGCCCTCCGCAAGTCCTTCCTCTCCATCAAGGGTATCTACTACCAGGCGACGATCCAAGGTCAAGACATCCTCTGGCTGGTACCATACAGGTTCGTTCAGCGAACAGGCGGCGACATCGATTTCAGGATCATGGGCACTTTCGTCGAGTTCTACACGACCCTGCTCGGCTTTGTCAACTACCGCCTCTACACTTCGGTCGGCCTGGTCTACCCTCCCAAGTTCAACGCAAAGAGCGACGAGCAGGGTGGTGAGCTTGCTGCATTCCAGCTTGAGGGCAAGGCCACCGCTACGAACGACGCAAACGGCCACGATGAGAATGGTGCGGTCAACCCTGAGGCACAGGCGATTGCGGACAGGCTTGCAGCTATGCCCGATGCTGAAGAAGAGGAGAGCACCACCGCCGTAGCCAAGGTAGCCACAGAGGACGATGAAGAGGAGGCCAACGACGAGATCGACAAGTTCGAGCCTACTGCGCCCGACGCCGATATCCTGCCCCAACCCCAAGCAAGCAGCGCCGAAATCGCATCCTTATTCGCGCCCTTCACCTTCTATCTGGCACGAGAGACACCCAGAGCATCGCTCGAGTTCATACTAAAGGCATTCGGCTGCAAGAGAGTGGGTTGGGACGGAACGCTAGGCGATGGCGCTTTCACAACCAACGAGTCGGACCCGAACATCACACATCAGATCGTCGATCGACCTGCGCTTTCCAACGGTGCTCCTGCACAGGAGGACGGTGCTGCTGCCCCCAAGGCCCAATGGCCATACTCTATGATGCCTGGACGCACCTATGTCCAGCCACAGTGGGTTTGGGACAGCATAAACCAGGGCAAGCTGTTGCGACCAGACCACTACGCCCCTGGCGCAGATCTGCCTCCCCATCTCAGCCCTTGGGTCAAGCCAAAGAAGGGCGAATACGACCCCAACTTGCCTCTCGCGGCCCAACAGCCAGAGGGCGAGGCTGAGGCGTTTGAGGACGATGACGAGGAGGCCACTTTCGACGTTGATGGAGACGAAGACATGGACGCCATCGTTGACCGTGAAGGCTCAGTGGAAGTTGGCGAGGGCATGGATGTCGCTGACGACTCTGAAGACGACAGCGATGACGACGAATCAGACGAGGCTGGCGCGGGTGGTGAGGAGTTCGACGGCTTTGACTCCGATGCCGAGTCGGACATTTCAGAAGGAGAGGCTGCCCGTCTTCAGCACCAGCGTGAACTGGAAGCTGAGGCCACTGGCAAAAAGCTCGAGGTCAAGAAGCCGACCAAGAAAGAGGAGAACGCTGTCATCCGCAAGAAGGCAGAGAAGAAGAAGCGCGCTGAAGAGGAGGAGCGCGAGAGGCAAAAGATGATGTTGTCCAACAAGAAGCGCAAGCTGCTCAAGCGTATCGAATACGGCGAGAACAAGCGCGAGAATGAGTCCGAGAACCTGCGCAGAAAGCGCGCGAAGGTCGAGAAGGCCAAGGCTGCTGCTGAGGCCCTGTAGGTTTGAGTATGTGTATATGATGCATCAAAAGCTGGGGCCGGCGTTCTTTGGGCAGGAGTTTGGCGCGCTTAACGAACCTCTATATGCTGCATGTAGTAAATCGATACCTTTTCTGGCTCTACATCATGGCCGTAGCTGTTGAACATCTATCCTAACGAATTTGCTGTGATCGCTGGTTGGGACGCACGGACTGGGGCTGTCAGATGCGTGGCGCAGCCATCTTTGACCCAAAAACATGATGAACACTCGATGACTCAACCAGAGGATATATGAACCATGGCTGCACCCATATTGCACTTGGTCTCTAACATCCAGCTGCAAGCCCATACGACCAATACACGCCCAATCCAACAGCATGTAGCCACGCCCACTAGTCCGCGAATATTGACAATGGTAGACCAGGGCCGCGATCCAAACTCAACCATAGTTGACATCGCAACAACGACAATGCTCAACCTGGACAACATGACATAAGACAACTCTTCTTTCCTGCACGTCAGGATAAATTTCATCACCGTATGTCAAGACCACAATAACCCCCTCTTTGGACTCTTCCCACAAAGACGTCGCAAGAGCACGCAAGCTCCGCAGATCAACTCGAACACAAAGAACTAAAGACGGAAATATGAATCCATAACATGACCCCCTCTCGTTCTCGATCTGCTCCACGGAAAAAAACCCAGCTCCACCATCGTCGCCGCTACCCAAAAGCGCAAAGTGCCGAGCCGCTGCCGAATAGCACCACCTTCCGGAAAAATTGTGCATGTCCAAATTTGCACACTTGGAATCTTTCGGTGGCATAGAAGTTTGAAAAGGTATAGAGAATCTTTCAAGCAGTATGGAAGCGAGGCTGACACAGAAAGACCAACTGGGGTCATTGCTTTCACCTGGGGCAACAGGCTTCGCTGTCACGTGATTGCGCGTTCACGTTCACTCCGGTTAGACGCTTGGTTGCTATTGTGGTATCGAGACAATAGGCTCGGTTGTGGTCACCCAGCTGTCACCTGGAGTTGATATCGATCCTAATCTTAGGACTTCATCTGCTCCTACTACCCATACGTCTATCTTCCTGTCCTCGACACAGCGATCTGAAGTCAGCAATACCTCTCATCGGACTCCGCGTTAAACCTCTGGAAATCGACGTATCCAGCAAAAGGTCACAAACCTCACATCCTCCAACCGACCATGGCAACGTCACCACCAACCCCCCTCTTCCCCTCCCTCCCCCCAGAACTCCGGAACGAAATATACGCCTACCTCTCCCACCCCACCCCCACCTCCATCCCAACAAACAGCCACCTCCCCCTCAGCCTAAAAACCTTCCACTGCAAACACACAACCACAACCCTCCTCCCCATCCACCACAGCAGCACGCCCGGCCTGCTCTCCCTCCCCGCAAACCAAATCCCCGAGTCCGGCGAATACACATCCTACCTCCTCTCCAACGCCATAACCCTCCTCATATCCATCCACTTCCTTGGCCGCATAAACACCTTCGTCCCCTCGGACTGGGACAAGAAAATCCAAGCCCATCTACGCAAACTGGCGAAATCGTTTCCGTGGTTGGGGAAAGTGAGCAGGTATGAAGTCAAGATACTATGGGACCCGGTTGATGGCGCGCTGAAGAGTAAAGGGGGGAGGAGGTGTGCGGGGGATGTTTGTCTTGGGTTGGTTAAGGGGGTTACGGGGTTGGTGGATGAGGGGGTGAAGGGGAAGAAGGGGTGGTTAAACGTGGGGGTGTGTCTTGATCATGGGTTTGCGGTGGGGAATGCGTTTGCGGAGACGAAGTTTGGGTTGGATAGGTTTTTTGGGGGGGAGTTGGGGTTTGGGACCGTGGTTAGGGAGGTGAGGATGACGGGGGTTACGCATCGCAGGGGGACTGAGGCTTTTCTTCTGGGTTTTCGGGCAGTGGAGAAGGGGGGTGTGCTAGAGGAGAAGAGGTTGATTGAGGTGGAGGAGGGGAGGGTTGGTTGGGCTGAGTTGACGAAGGGGCCGTTGGTTATGAGGAGGACTACGGGTGTGGGGCTGAAGGGGAGTACGACGGAGTTGGGGAGGGATGAGATGGACTTTCCCATGTGTCATCTTATGGCGGAATCTGTTAAGATGTAGTGAAAACTATGACGAATCGTTGAGATTTCTGCGAACGGCTATTGATCATCCCGGGGGCTACGAACAACTTTGTTCTGGTTGGCGCAGTAACGATGACACTGGTTGCTACATACACAACCACAGACTTTCCAATCTACACTATTCTGCCATCCAACACCCCATTCCCAGATCCATGTACAATTTCTTCCCATGCTCCCCTACTCCTACACTCCCATCTTTCCAGTCTTCCAACTCACCTCTCTTCTTTCCCCCTCCTCCAAATGCCCATCCACCACATCCCCTGCTTACGCCCAAGCCCCCACCAAACTCATCAAAAAGGCCCCCAAGAACACAAGCAAACAAGCATAAACCCTGCGCTTGCCCTTAAGCACCTTCCAACTCTCATCGCTCAGGAAGTCCTCCGACATGAGTTCCACAAGCGAGGCGAAGATGAGGAAACCAGCTGAGATGGCGTTCATGATACCGACGACGAGGAGACCGATTTCAGAGTCGGGCGAGTACAAAGTGTGTGTTGCTATGCCGATTGCCATGCCGCCGGGTGTGCTGGGTGTTGTGTTAGTAGGAGGAGATAGATGGGGATGGAGGGAAGACTTACGTGCAGCCATATGCGAGAGCCATGAGCCAGGGCTGTGCAGCGCGTGGCTTCCATTTGATGTCGGCGATGCGTACACCGAGTGCCAGGCCTTCGAAAGTTTCTATTAAAGTCAGTATGTAGATACTGTTAGTTTGGAAGGGGGGCCTACGATGAAATACTATAGCGATCAGCAGCACAGTGAAGTCGTTACCGACTGAAACAGCAAGCGACATTCCAATGAAGATGCTGTGGAACAAGATACCCATTTCCAAGAGAAACACCTGCATAATGGCTTTCTTGTGTACTTGCTCCGGGGTGAGCACATGGTCGTGCTCTCCAGTCTCTTGGTCCTCCTCGATCGCATACTCGTCATTCGCTTCTTTGCTACGGGCGCCCGGGGTTTCCGCTTCAGATCCGCCCACAGATTCAATAGCATCGAGTCGCTGGCCATCCTCACGGTACCGGGAGAGCGTTCTACTAATGCTCCCGACTCTTCCACGCAAGACACCCAGATCGCGGACTCGCATGCTGGTATCCGAGTACGTCCTCTGCATCGCTGGCTGCGGTGGAGCAGGCGCTTCATTCTCAGTCTTCGGTTCTTCCTTGCGGCGAGACACAGCCTCCGCACCCTCGTTACCGCCGCAGACATGTTGAGCTGGGGAAAAGATCATTTCGATTAGGGTGACGAAGAAGACGCTAGCTAGCATAATCGCGCCTGGCATAGCCTGATAATCGGTTGTCCAAAAGCTCGACAGACAGGGGTCGTTCAGTGAGCCAAAAGCGGTAGGAAGTAGATGGACGAAGGCAGTCGCGACCAAGACACCGGTGCCGAAATGCTTCGCGCCGAAAAGGAAGGCAGGTGGGATGCGCAGGCGCGGAAACTTGAGGACGAGCATTGGGAAGGCACATCCAGTGCCTGAAACGAAAAGGATGATGAAAAGGCCGGCGACATGTAGACCCAGATCGTAGTTGGGCTGGGCTTTGCCATCTTCGCAGGTACTTCGCCTGGGAAGACGCTGGTTTGTCGGCTCTGGGAATTCGATGTTAGTGTTGACGCTTTGACGCCATTGGGGCTGTTTCATCTCACCTTTTGGTAAGAAAAACTTGGGTGTGGACAGATTTCCAGTAGCATAGGAGATCAGCATCGAAGTGCAGATTACTGATACCAGCCACTTTGCCCAGCTGAAGAAAGTGGTAGTGAGGCCAGCTTGGTGCTCGCTCACGTGCGCGATGGTTCGGGTGCAAGGTCCTGCAACAGAGTCAGCATCTCAGCCTCCATTGTTGAGTCATCACGATGCTGCGACAAACCTTTTGGGGACCCTTTGACACCCTCGCCAGTGTGGCTTGGCTTTCTCTTCTCCATCTCTTGGCCATTGAATTCGTCGAGTTCACACCGCCGCAAACTCCGCGTGCCGCTGCGCAGTCGATCTGCCTCTCCCAATTCTCTTGCATTTGCGATGCCGTTCAGATCCTCGCAGGTCGTCAGATCAGCAGCGAAGCGTGGCGGATTCTGATTCCATCCAGGGTTCCAAAGGACGTCGTCATCGGTTCTGGAAGGGCAGTTCATTTTGGGACCTCGGTTGCCAAGCTCTCCTTTCCGGTCGTGGAGATGGTCAAAGGTGCGTTCGGTGGTAGTGACAGCCGTCTAGTCCAGTGGAGCGCGAACGATGAGTTAATATGTTCGAAGGATGACGTGGAGATCACTGATGATGGAAATAGTCGGGAACATATGACATCCCAAAGAACTAGCAGTGGTCACTATGGTCGGTTAGCGGCTCTTCCGCCTTGTCGTTGCCCAAACAGAAGCCAGCGCCGAGTGCCAAGACGACCAACCCCAGGCCCGCCACGCGACAACGGCCGAACGGGTGCTCCTTCTTTTGATGGGTCTCGTGTATAGCAGCTGTCGATGTTTCAAACTTCATCTTTTGGAGACAATGTATAGCTATCTTCTTGTTCTCAACATGTTGTTAACAGCTGCGGCCACTGCGACCGGATGTTCGGCTTGCGCTTCGACACGTAATGGTGCGCGGCCGGTGGAGATCACGAAGAAGATCGGATCCGATGTTGCCCGAAGTAGAGTGATGAGTACCCAGCCGTGCAGCCGATGCCGAAGCGGTAAATCCTGGGGTAGTCTGGGCCATGAAGTACTCTCAATGCTGACTACAATGTGCAAAATTATCTCTTGTTTGACTAACGCATGTTGGCAGTGCTGCTAACTCTGGGTTCAACATCTTAGAAGAGACACGATTCATATCATAATCTCTCGAAAGGGGAATTGTCTCCAGCCGGCAGGTGAGCACGCGACCTGCACTCAGCTCAAGCAACGTCTATTTAAGGTCGGAATAGGTGTATATGTGGTGCAGAACGTGTGATGTATAATACATGCAATTCTTTTGAACGATTCTTAGTGCGTGTTGAAGCACTTTTTCATCTCTCTCTTATCTCTTTGGTGTCTATGGGTATCTCTCTTCACTGCGCCTTGGTTGTCTCCAACACTTCCAGCGCACCGCCAACCAGATGCAAGCTCCCAGTCACCAGCACCATGACTTCTGCATCAGCCCCGGCTTCCTTGGCATAGTCTTGCGCCACCTTTCGTGCGGTTACGACTGCCTCTTCGATTGTGCGCAGCACATGCACTTCTGCAGTGCCGTCTATCTCAGACCATGTGTTCGCGAGCGCCTTCTGAACTGCCAGCGTGTCTACGTCCTGCTGATTGGTGTTTATCGAAACAAGATCAGGCTTGTATCCCTCGCTGAAGGTTTGGTTGGTGGTAAAGATAACATGAGTGAAAGGAGACTGTGATCCCGAAGTGATGCCGCTCTGTAGGGCTGTATACAAGGCTTTGGCCAGCGCATTCGCGTCTCGTGTCTGTTGGTTGAAGATCAATATCCGAGGGACCTTGGATTGAGAGGTGGCAGTGGAAGTCGCCAGTGTTATCTGCTCCGCGAACCATTTGCCAGTGACCTCTATGCTTTCCATAGTGTGGGCTCCGTCGATATGCCATGCGACGTTGGTCTCGCGTCTGATCTCACATCTACCAGCCCATCGCACTTGCTCCAGTCCGCGAACGAACTCGGAGGGGAGCTCAATATGCGGAGCAATGGTTGGATCGGGTACGGAAGTGTGGCCAAGTGCTCGCAGATGCGCAGCTGCGGCAGCTATCGCCACGGATGCGTTGATCTTCTGGAAGGCTGCACCTAGCCCAAGCTTGATCTCGTTGTTCGCTAAAGCCGGATGCACATCGATAGTGTGTAGTTTCGTGCCCTTCGCGGCTGCCCGTTCTTCCAAGACTGTCATAGCTTCCTCCTTTTGGCGCACTGTAAATGCAATACTGCCTTTCTTGAAGATTCCAGCTTTGTGCCAGGCTATTTCTGGAAGCGTAGAACCAAGCATCGCTGTATGGTCTATTCCTAGCGTTGTGACGGCTGTGACGGTGGGTTTCGTGAGGATGTTCGTGCTGTCGAACTCGCCGCCGATTCCACATTCGATAACAGCGGAGTCCACACCCTCCTTCAGGTATGCGTGTAGCGCCATGAGCGTCAGATAGCGGAAGTATACTGGCTTGGTAGGGACGTCTGCTGGCGCATTCTCCGCCTTTGCCGCTGCTTCCAGCTTGTCCCACACCTCGAAGAAGTATTTGGCGAACTTCTCCTCTGATATTGGCTCATTGTCGATCTGTATGCGCTCTCGTACGAATCGTAGATGCGGGGAGGTGTAGAGACCGATCTTCGAAGGTGGGGTCTGCGCGTCGCCGGGGGTGGTGTATTGTGACAGGATAGACGAGATGAAAGCACTCGTAGAGCCTTTGCCTTTCGTGCCGGCGATGTGTATAGGCTTCAACCGGTCGAACTCTGAGGGCTGAATGCTTCGTCAGTCGCGGTCTTCGGGTGGGGTCGTTGGGAGCCGCACACCTCATATCCAGCTTTGCGACACCATTCAATCATCTCCGGTATCGCCTGCTGGTTCATACCCCGACCAGACTTGCGAATCGCATCCACTATGGAGAAGTTGGACTGAAGCGTGTTGAGCGCGGCAACCGCAGCCTGTAACTATCAGCTCAACTCACATGTGCGCTGCTACTAACATACCGCATAGTCGCGCTTCTCCATTTTGGCAGCGCTGTGGTAAAGACGAGCGATTGGTGAACCGCGCAAGAAGCACGTGCGTGTCCGGGCTATGAACATGAGGGCATCGCGGTTGATGCTTGAGCTCAGGGCCGTCTGGTACTTTTGTTTTTGAGAATACCGCCGATAGCCGATGACGCATCAGCTCCGACCCTCGTTCTCACAAACCTCAATCGGGGCCTGCGATCCCCTGCATGTCTCTCCATACCTTCCTTCACTAACAATTCGTCGGAGCTGTCAGAGCCAACCAACACTAACGGTCCGTCTTCTCAAAGACTAATTCGAATGCTACATGGCTGTACTCACCACTAGGACCAAATTATAGCTTCACTGGATTGTACGCGGGGAGATGTTTACGTGTGAAAAACTTCACTCGACGAGTACTGGATGCAACAGAGCTTCCCATGTGCGTACTTTTGCTCAGAGTTACTGCCTTAACCTCTGGACTTAATCTGCCTTCTGTTTTACAACAGGTAAACACAGTGAAACGCGTCGTGGAAGACGTGGCTGTACTGTTGACATTAAAGTACATGGTAGCGCGCATCAATTGACCTATTGTAAAACCAGGAACGAACCGATTGTTCGTCTCAAAGTTACTTCCGAGCACGCTCCACTGGACGCGATGTGATTGTCCGGTTGAAACACAATACCAGGGTTCAGCAAGAGCGATCCGGGCGCCGGAAGCAGTCTAGCTCCGGTGGTCAAAGCTCTCTCACTCGATCCATCCGTGGATCCTCGCCGACTGCCAATCCATTGTTTCGACCACAGTCAGCGCCTTTTATCAAAAACTGCGCTTCTTCTTCCTCCTTCTCTTTTCCCCATTATCGCGCTGTACGGGAAGATACATTGATTGACTTTACCACTCTCTTTGCGCATACGAACACGTTCGCAGCTTCCCAGCTTACGCGCCCCTGTCCCTGTCGCGTCACGCTCACCAACGTCGCTCACCTTCCCTATCACAACCACTCGCGCAGCCATGTCGGACTACTCTAAGATGAAGAACGACGAGCTGTCGGCGCTCCTCAAGGAGCGCAAGCTACCTCACACCGGCAAAAAGGCAGAGATGGTCGAGCGCCTACAAAAAGACGACGAGAAGTCCGGCGAGAAGCCTGCCGCTGGCGCTGAAGACGAGATCGACTGGGACGACGAAGCTGATGATACCGCTGCTGCGCCAGCTGCTACCACCACAGCGACAGAAGCGACCGTCATTCCTAACGCAGAGATTGTCGCAAACGCTGGAGGCGAGGGCCAGCCCCCGAACCCGCAAGCCGTACCTAACCAAGTCGCCGACATCGACCCTGCGCAAACCGACGACCTGACCATCGACCCGCCCGCGGAAGGCGCCACCGAAGCCAGCACAGAGCCCAAGCCAGAAGAGAAGAAGGAGCCCACTCCTGATTACACACGCGGTCTTGCTGCCACCAACCTCGATGAAGAGATTGAGAAGCGCAAGAAGCGCGCGCTGAAGTTTGGTACCAAGTTCGAGGACGATGAGGGTCTCAAGAAGCTGGAGCGCGCTAAGAAGTTCGGAGAGGTCGGCCCTCCCAAGGGTCTCGACGAGGCTCTTCCAGAGCGCCGCGAGAAGCGCCAACGAGAGGCCGGAGGTGACGAAGCTGGTAGCAACAAGCGCCGTGAGGGTCGCCGCGACGGCGGACGAGAGGGAGGTCGTACTGGAGGTCGTGGAGGACGCAGAGATAACCGCCCTCGTAGCAGAGACAACCGCCCACGTGAGAACACACGCGAGAACAGGACTGGCGGTGGTCCTGGCGGAAGCTGGATGAGCGAGAAGGATAGGGCTGCCGCCGAGGCCAGGAAAGCCAAGTTCGCAAAGCCAACGGCTTGAGCTTGGAGATATGATACTGATCGTTTTCTGGATTTCACTTCCGAGCGGCCGACGAGCGACCTCGAAGACGGACCTTCGATACGGCGCCTAGACTCGGACTCGGTGGAAGAGCTTGGACAGCACCGGCGCACTCCTTGTATAACATATTTTGCGGGCTACATTCTACCAATTTGCCGGACCATCTGCGATTGTCGCTTCTTCAGACACATCTCGGATACATCAATTCAAAGCTCATTAATCTTCACCGCCGCCTCATCGTCCTCGCGATTCACTCTTTGCATATACAGCTTCTTGGACTTACATGGCGAGCCTTTCCCATGTCTGTCCGCTACCAGAATCATGAAGCCGCTAGCAGACCTTGTCTACATGGCACAACTCCTGCCTTCCCGACAGCGCAGCTGGTTCAGTGGTCGATGTCGCACGAGAAGCTGAGAATTGGTTACGACGTATGACGGGCATATTGAGCAGCTTCGCCCATATACCTGATCGCAAATCAATGTTCGCAGCACGCCAACACTTGAACGCTCGCATTCCGCGTACGCTGACAGCCAGCCACGCATCTAATGCGATGCAAGGGCATCTAGATTCACTTATCCAGTGAATATGCATTGCAGTCCCAGAAGAACCGCATTTATAGATCAAGTGATTGTCAAGCAACTAAGCGTTGCTACAAGCTTCGGTTACCAACACACCGACATTGTGGTCCTCTTTGTGATGCTAGTGCCTCTCAACGCCACGAAACCCGCTGCATATTCCCGACCTCGGCATGGGGCTTTTATCCCCGCACACCAACTAACACCGCCAAAGAGGAAAGAAAACGCTTAGCAAGCGTCACCGTTAAATGGCTCCCAGGCACTAAGGGTGTTTGTGGGGATATTTAGACGGTGGGAGTCCCCGCGCGTAAATTCCGCGTTTCTGATCTGCATTCGTTGTTTCGCCTCCTCGACTTCCGTTGACGTGTTGCTTGATTCTTTTGACATCAGAATCAACAATCGGACCGCAGCCTACTCTACCTACTTGTTCTGGAACTTTGGACGTGCTGCATGACTCGGAACACAGAGACCGGAATCGGACAAAGAGTCGGAACAATCGTATGATCGGCATATACCCATGGGCAGAAAATTGGTGACCAAATATTGTGCATCGGCATAGCTAGCGGAGCTTAAAGGGTCGCCCCGAAGTGTTGAGGAACAAGAAGCTTGACGACGCAGCTTTGCACGCGATGTCCCAATCAGATGTTGAGGAGAAACATGTCGTTAGAGACAAAGCTGTCTCGCAAGAAGACATGAGTCGTCCCTCGTCTTCGATCCACGATGATATCCATCGACAAGTCGAGACAGCAAACAGCCACGAGGTAGCAGGAGATAAAGAAGCGCAAATAGACGCAAGATCAACATTGACTGCCGAATCCGCTATTCCTCCACCTCCAGATGGTGGACTCCATGCTTGGCTGAAGGTGTTTGGAGGATTCATGATATACATCAACATCTGGTATGTTAACGCTTGCATCATCTCTACATCTCAGATGGAATGAGCTAACATTACTATCCACCCAGGGGCTTCACCCTAACCTACGGCGCCTTCCAAACCTACTACCGCACCACACTCCTCACTTCCTCCACGCCAAGCGCTATATCCTGGATCGGCACCGTACAAGCCTGGCTGCTCATCGTCATCGGCACGCTATCCGGACCTTTATTCGACCTTGGCTATTTCCGCAGCATGCTGCTCGTTGGAAACTTCCTGGTCGTGCTAGGCATCATGATGCTCAGTCTGAGTACGCAGTACTGGCAGGTATTCCTCAGCCAGGGCGTGTGTATGGGCCTGGGAGCTGGTTTGTTATACATACCTAGTCTAGCCATGGTGGGAGTGTGGTTTAGCAAGAAGAGGGCGTTGGCTATGGGTATTGTTATGAGTGGGATTGCTGTCGGTATGTCTCCCCAGGACTATTCCCTCCCTTCTTCAACGCAACAGGACTAACGATACAACCCCAGGAGGCGTAATCTACATAATCATGTTTGACCGGCTTACCAAGACCGCTGGTTTCCCCTGGGCTATCCGCGCTATAGGTTTCGTCGCTTTAGCCGCTGCTCTCCTTTCCATTCCTGCTCTGCTGTCTGGCTCCGCGTGGTTGAAACATAAGCGTAAGCGTCGTGCGCTGTTCGATAAGTCCGCGCTCCATGACCGTCTCTTCCTCATCTTCACTGCGTGCTCTTTTAGCACGTTTCTCGGCTACATTGTGCCTTACTTCTACATCCCGACGTACGCGCGCGAGCGACTGGGTAGCTCGGAGAGTACTGCGCTGTATATGCTTGTGTTGGCCATAGCGGGCAGTTTCTTCGGGAGACTGGTTAGTGGTGTCGCGGCGCATTGGGTCGGGGCTATCGTTACATGGGGGCTTTGTGCGTTTGCGAGTGGGTTGTTGGCACTGGTTTGGATCAGTATAGAGACTGAGAAGAGCTTTATCGCTTTCAGTATACTCTGGGGTATGTGTTTTTCTCACTTCTACTACCTGGGTTGTTACATTGGACTAATGGTAAACTTAGGTTTCTTCTCTGCGGCTCTAGTCACAGTACCCTCCGCGGCTTTCGCAAACATCACACCCGATCTTTCGCGGCTGGGAACGAGGCTGGGCATGAGTTGGAGTGTGTCTAGTATTGCTACGCTTATCGGTGCGCCGATTGCTGGGGCTCTACTCAAGAAGACGGATGGGCGCACGAATTTCATTGGGGTGCAGGTTTGGAGTGGCGCTTGTTTGATGGTGGGGACGGGTTGGTTGGTGGTGCTTTGGACTGTTACTGTGAAGACACAGAAGAAGGGTTGGAGAGTTTAGCATATGAATCTGATGGGCCTATGATGTCTTTCGCAACTCAAAGACTCCATTCGATGAACCTTTTTCGACAGCTCTATGAGCACTTCATCAATACGGCAACGTATTCACCATCTCCGATCGTTGTGAGTGGGACGGAAGCTGATATTGTAGCTCTCTAGTTCGATTCTGAAACCTCAAATTCGGTAGAGTGTGCTAGTTTTGCTGCTTCGCTCGACAAGCCGTGTCGGAAGGAACCGGTGGCTTGCTTCCCAGCTGCTGTACAGGCGGGTTGTGGTATCGGTACCTGGGTACGACACCGATGACGGCCCG